ATGTAGGTTGAGACTTTTTTCTATCTTGTTCTCCTCCTGAGCTTTCTTGCTTCTCCTTTGCCTGTATCCTTGCACAGTTCTCCACCTTTCCCTTTCTCTACCTCAGTCAATCTCAGGGCATATTCCCAAGAACTTTAAATGAACTCACACTATAGCACATCTAGTCTCTCTCTCTCTCTCTCTCTCTCTCTCTCTCTCTCTCTCTCTCTCACTCACACACACACACACACACACACACACACACACACACCCCACACAGGAAGATATTGCCTGAATCTCTAAGAGCTCTAAGATATCCTAAGTGGTTCAGATTCATTGGTGCCTGTCTTGGTTACTTTTCTCTCATTGCTGAGACAATATACCCAGTGCCCAAAATTAAGGAAGGAAAGGTTTATTTAGCTCACAGTTTATGGAGGTTTCAGTCCATACGTGGCTGGCTCCAGGGCGGAGTGGCACATGGCAGAAGGCAACAGCTTACTGCAGTAGAAGACAGCAAAAACAGCAAGAGCACAAGTGGAGGAGGCAAGCAGCCTCTTTCCTTCCCTATACTGTATGGCTGGCTATCTGCCCACACACCATCTCAGTGCCATCCTCTTGCACAGGCTCGGGATGTAAGACTGCTGAGTCACTTAGCCAAGCCTCTAGACTTCTCAAGTTGACACAATGTATTCACCATAACAGTGCCAAAACCTTGCAAAGTTTACTCATCCCCAGAGAGGATTTTTTTCCACACTGTAGAAGAAGACCCCTAGGTATCAAAAGAAACACATCTGATTAGAACAGAATCGCCATTTCACAATGACAGGCCCCATAGCTTTGATGAGGTACTAACCAAAGGAATTAACCACAAAGCCATAGTGTTATAGGCAGCTGAGTTAGCTGGAAATATTACACGCACTCAGACAGGGCGGGTCCTCCAAGGAGCCAACATGAAAGACAAGATACCTTGTGAATGGAAACTTATTTGCTGTGGGCCAGACCTCAAGACAAAAGACTAAACAATTGCACCAATACACCTACCTCCCTAGGTGTAAACATCAGGGATTGTTATTCTAAGTAGGTAGCAATCACCTTGAAAAAGCCAAGAAGAGTCACTAGCCCAACCCCCTACAGGAAAGGTCACTGTTCTGTCTTCATAGCCCCCTGCTACATGACTCTCTTCCCCATTTGATCCCAATTTAATCAATTTTACCTGAACAATTATACTTGTAATCTTATTGGCTGACCACAGTTTTGTCCCACCTCATGCCCACCTTGTAATTTCCCATTTTCCCCCTATCTTGGACCCGCCTCACCTCGTGGTTTTGCCCTATAAAGTCCCTGGGAAGGGCAAGGTCCTTGGCAACCCACTCGGGCCCCCTTCTGTCACTCTCTTGGACAGAAGATTTCTTTCCCTCAATAAATATATTCTGCTCTTAACCTCCATGCCTCAGATTCATTCTTCGACTTTAGAAAGCATGAACTCATCCCAGATGTCCTTCAGGTTGGGAGTTTCTATTTTCCTGTATCAATAGGGCCAGTCCTCTGTGAGTTAGGTTTCCTTTATCTGTTATCAGGAAATCACTAGGAACATCACAACATATGGAAAAAGCATAAATCATCCCCTAGCATTTAGGATTTTTAAGAGTTCCTCTTTCTTTGCCACTTGATTGTCAGGAGACTACATATGTCTCTAAATCAGGCATCTGAATTCCCCACATGTAGGTAAATCACAGGAGCCAGTAAAAATCAGTGATTTCCCCAGCCTGATCATTTCCTATTACAAAGGTTCCCCTCTAACAAATATGAGCTAGACTTGCACCCTCCATGCCTTCTTCCACTCACTACCTTTACTTAAACTCCTCCACTCCTACCTTTTCCACCAGATCCCTCCAAGCAGGTATGGCACACCGTCCTAGATCCATATAACTTTTGTTCCCACACACCAAAGCAGATTGACTGCTATTCTCCGCCACGGTTCTTGCATTTTCTGTCTCTGCCTGGTCCAAGTATTGGGAGTCATCAAAACCGTTCTCTCCTCATCCTTGAGCTCCATTAGAGCACACCTACAACTCCACGGGCACCTGCTGTGAACCACAGGCCGGCGTGGAAAGTATCCCTGACGTGGGAGGTTGGTAAGACTGGATGTACCCCTGACCAGTACTGGCCTAGGCTCCCACCCAAACTGCAACACCACCAGAAGGTTCAGGAGGCCCTCAGACTCATTGAAAACATGGACTTGGAGGCTGCCATTGATTCAGTGGATGGCAAACCGAGGCAGTCCACCGAATGGATCCCAGCCTTGGCATTGCATTAGTTTCTCGGCACCCTTCCCTGACTGACCCACAGTGCGGCTGTCCCAGGTTAGTGAAACAAGGCACGGGAAGCCCACGGAAACAGTGACACTGTGTGCCAGTGAAACAAAGTCACTTTCCTCACTCAGCAACAGCTCTGGGGAAAAAGTGACAGAGCTGGCCCAAGGCCTGGCCACTAGCCTGTCCTGGTGTCATTTAAAAGCCACCCATTTGAAGGACATATTTAGCTCTGGGAGTGCCTAGGCTCAGGAAGGCAAGTGATGAATCCAGGGTTCCGGAACTGAGGAAGGACAGAGCGAGGATTACAACCCCAGTCTGGTTGCCCCGTGCAATTCCAATTCTATTCCTTTCTACCATACCCGCCACGGTATGTGCGCGCCAAAAACTACTTTCAGGGAGAAAGCTGTGTTGTTCTGAAGTTGCCAAGTGGCAACTAAGGCAGAGTAATAGAAAGAGGGCTAATGCAACGTACCCGAATGTGCCTTGTCGGGAAAAAGTACAGACAGCATTGCACTGCACAGACACTTCTCCTGCTGACGTGCCAGAGCTAACCCAGGTGTAGCTGGCTTTCCGTGTAAGGCGCTGGGCTACTTGGGAAGAATGGGAGAACCGCTTTGACCCCCTGCACATCCACACGTTTGTAGTAATGAGCCTTCATATAATAGGTGTCAACTGTACACCCTGCAGAAAGGGAGTCATGAAACAGCACCCTGCGTCTCAACACAGGAGGCACTTCCTCAACAGCCTGGCCAAGAAAACCTCATCTACCCTCAAATAATCCCCAGCCAAACCACAAATTGCTGGCTGCACCAGACTTAGTAACACCCCCTGCCGTGCTCCTGCAGGCTCACAAGATGCCCTGGACCACAGCAGCCAGCGCTCTCTGGGTGCCTCTCAGGTTTGGTGAGCCCTGGGCAGAACTGAAACTTGACCTCTCTGAGGCAGGCTGTCTAGGCCCACTGTGGAAATCGGGCAGGGAGTGTGAGGAGGCAAAGAAGGGGAGGAACTACCAGACCCTGGAGGGCTGCATATCCCACTGTGACCTTGGTGGAAACAGAGCAGAGGGGAGGAGTTTGATTAGAACAAATTCCTGAAGGGGTTGTCTCAGAGGGTTTCTGTTTAAAAAACTGTTTTTTATTGCTGCAGAGAAGGCTGGGGGGAGAGGCCTCAGAGAGTGTGCTGGCA